GGTGTATCATTATCCATAAAATATTGAGGGTAGTTACTCTTGCTGGAACTGTTTCTAATCAATTTATTTAATATATTCCAAGTACCTCTCATGTTATTTTTATTATCCTCTAATACTTTAGAGTAATATAGTTTCTTACATCTCCTCAAAATCTCAATTAATTTGTTCTTATATGACTTATATTTTTCTTCCGCCTTCTTTGATCTGTCCTTTATGAATTCCTTATATAACGCATTCTTCTTTTTACATGCATTCTGTAATCCCTTACTCATCCACGGTTTCCCACTGTAATTCCTTTTGTTTTATACTGCTTACGAGGACAGTTCCTGTCATATACTTTCTTAAATATATTTAAAAATTGCACATATGCTTTATCTAAGTCTTCCTCTCTGTAAACTGATTTGAAAATTACATGGCAGTGTTCATCATACCATTTCATAAACGCCTCTCATCAGTCATCGGCCTGATGACTGATGACAGTCATCCTCCTCAAGACAGTGACAAGTAGGCCAACAGACGGGAGGTTGAACAGCTGGCCCCCCCCCCCACCTTATCTCCACTTACTATACTCAGCATCACTGTTTCAGTCATGGAGTCCTACAGGTTTCTGGGCTCCACAGTCTCTCAGGACTTGAAGTGGATGTCCAACATCAGTGCCATCATTAAAATGGCATGGCAATGGATGTACTTTCTGCACCAGCTCAGGAAGTTCGACCTGCCTCAGGAGCTGCTGATACAATTCTACAGAGGAATCATCAAGTCTGTTTTCTGCTCATCCATCACTGTCTGGCTTGGCTCAGCAACCAAACAGGACAAGTACAGACTTCAGCGGACAGTCAGGACTGTGGAGAAAATCATTGGTGCCAGCCTGCCCTCCATGGAGGACCTGTACACCTCACGGGTCAAAAGGAGGGTTGAGAAGATTTCTGCAGACACCTCACATCCTGGACACAAACTCTTTGAACCTCCGGATGGCGCTACAGGTCACTGTATGCCCAGACAACCAGGCACAGACACAATTTCTTCCCCTGGGCTATTACACTCTTGAACAGCTAGTCTATGTTTGCTCTTTTAACTTGTGCTTTTTAACGTACATATTCTGTATTTATTCTGTTTTTATTGCTGTGCACGTCAGGGGACATTGGAATGGAGTCAAATTCCTTGTAATTTTGATAATACTTGTCAATAAAATTTATGCTCACGCATAAGCAATCAAGCAATGTAAAAATCAGTTTAAAAAAATGAAAATGAAAATATGAAAATGGTGTTGGAAAAGTATAAGGTTGACAAAATGGCATGATTTCAGTTACAACTGGTTGATACTCATGGTTGATTACTTAATGTAGGATGGGATGTATGTATCATATGTGTAAATAGGAAGTTGTCATGTTGTTGATGTACTTGTATATATGATAGCTACATGTATAAAAATTATATTTCTAAATGAGATGAAATATTGACACAGACACTAGCCCTGGGGACATGGAATGTCACCTCGCTGGTGGGGAAGGAGCCCGAGCTTCTGCAGGAGGTTGAGAGGTACCGGCTAGATATAGTTGGGCTCACCTCCACACACAGCTTGGGCTCTGGAACCTTACTCCTCGAGAGAGGCTGGACTCTCTACTACTCTGGAGTTGCCCGCGGTGAGAGGCGGCGGGCTGGTGTGGGCTTGCTCATAGCTCCCCAGCTTAGCCGCCATGTGTTGGAGTTTACCCTGGTGAACGAGAGGGTCACTTCCCTGCGCCTTTGGGTTGGGGATAGGTCTCTCACTGCCGTTTGTGCCTATGGGCCGAATGGCAGTGTAGAATACCCGGCCTTCTTGGAGTCCCTGGGGAGGGTGCTGG